TATTAAGTTCAAATTTTCAATAAGGACTTAACGAAATGACGTTTAGTACACCAGTTTCAAAGTTGCATAATAGCATTTTTGAGGAATCGAGTATTGTCTAAGCCTTTAAGCCATAGATCATACACTTATATATTGTTTAAGCTAAGCATTTAATATTGAAAATGCAAGGCGCTTCGAATTGTGTCCGGGAGTATATAGGTATTCTTCGGATGTATTTGTCGGTATATTTTGTTTACTTTTCAGTAACCCATTTTAACGCAGCTTAGTATTACTATTATACCAAAAAAAGATATGCCTGGCGTGAAAAGAATGGCGATGTATATAAAATCAATTGTTTGTCATAATAAAATCATCACTTACGTTAGTGGATTAGGTAAAGATGTTTTTTTGGAAAAGTGAGTTTGTGTAGTCTGAGGTCACTTAGTAGCAAAAAATTTGAAACAATTTTTTGATCAAAGCTTCTAATGTGCTCGATATTCCGGCGTCAAAAGCGTCATTAGCAGTCGTCAGAACGGCTTGTTGTATAAAACAAACTGCGGCGGAGTGGCGTTTTTGCTATGTAGGGCAGTTTCGGCTGTCAGTGCGCAGAAAGAGCGGCGTTTGAAGGCCGCCGCGGCGCCCCAGGGTGCCACTGGTACGCAGAATTGAAACCTTTTTTTGTAACACTCCGATGGGTGACGAGATTTACTATTACTATAATTATTGTTATAATTTTGTTGTTATACATTTTATGGATTTAAAATATGTATGCTCAACTATAGCGATGTCGTAGGTACTTTTTTGAGTACTGGCGATTGTTGTCTCTTCAAATCGTTCTACATCAATCACTACATACCAATAAGTGTAAATTATTTTCGAAATGGGTAAGTAAGAGCATTTTGTAAGAATTTTGTTCCGCCGAAAGAACTTTCAAAAGGGCTTCTACGTAGCGGGATTTTGACTCCGTGACATCGTGAGACACTATAATAATAGACTTAACAATCACACTAAAGGACCTGTTCTCAAACTGAAATCCCACTGAAATTACTACCAGATTAACGGAATTAACAAAGAAGATCCGGACCAGAACCAATTTAGATTAGTTATTTCACAGTAGTGTTTTTCTAAAAGTTCTTTCAAATAATTTTAGACGGATTTTGTTTTTGTGTTTCAAGGTATTTTAATTACATGATTATTTTATTTATTAATTTATATAAATATTAGATTGTTAATATTGCTGTTATTAAATTTGCTTTTTGCTAATACTGGGCGGCTTCTTCACTCTTTTCTGCCCTCCTTATCATGACTAACGTAATCGATATTTTTTAGCGAAATTAAGTCACTAACATATTATTGAGAATCAGTTAAACGAGATCTATTACCCTATTATATCATCGGGGATAGTGCAAATCTGCGTATGTAATATTGGTAAAAAGCGCGTATTTGCACTAAACTAAATTTCACAGGAGAGGAATCTAACGTTATTACTTTGTTATTTCAATGGCTACGATTTTCATTTTTGCACAGTCAGTATTAATTTATGTTGTCTGCGGACTGATATCAATAGATACCCGTGAATCACGCTAATTTGGTTGCTACGATATATACGCGTATTTGATTTGGCCACTAAATTACCCAAATGGAAACTCAATCGAACGCTAGTTACGCGTAATTGCACTATCTCCGACGTTATGTAGTCTCAGTTTTGCTGTTAAGCAAAATCAGCGTAGGACATTTTTCAAATAGAAAAAACTTTGGTGCAAGTTATGACAAGGGGGAAAATGGGGGAAGATCGATTAATGGTTAAGATGACTTCCTATAATGGCTAAGCTGACTTCTTCAATTACTTCAACTTCACGTTCAAACAACGATTTGTATATCTGCGGCTCTAAAAATGCGTTTATAAGCAATTGGTGTGCCACTACTTACCAGATTCCGCAACTGTTTCTTTCAATACAAATTTCACAAAAGCAACATTTAATAATCGTTAAAACTTTTTATTACTTTAGTAGCTAAACTAACAAAAGCTTAACTTTTTACAGCTATTACACAATAGACTTTTTACACAGTTTGACAAGGGAGCATGGTTTGGTGCGAACCTGTGCTCACATTGTCATCTAACAGGTACTTGGGGTGATCTTGTTACACTATAACAATGATGCTCGAATGCCCAAAATTGAACATTCACTCCTTTAAAATTACAGAATCTAGTAAAGCGAGCGGAATTCCGATCAGATAAAATGAGCGTCCGCTTCCATACAATGCCAAGTCTGGTTATTCACTCCACTATATCCAAATTTTTCGAACTTTTTATTTTCTTTGTTGAAACTAAAGATCAAGTTTCTTAAAAATTGAAATTATGTGAAATAGTACCTATAGACATTGAAATGCTTACAAATATTTTGCCTTCAATCATCGTACAAAATCGTGTTTCTCTTTAAGTATTTTTCAATGCATAATAGAACATTAAATAAGGACAGCTTTAACATTTGCCTACAGTTAAGTATAAGTATATGTTTAAGCGATAGACCTGAGGTATATTGAGACAGACATGAGACAGACAGACATTTTTTGAAATATTGGACCAAATTAAATGACAGTGAATCAATTTTTTGTCACATACTTGATACATATTTCTAAATTCAAAATCCTATGCTCAATCGACGGTATGGTGCGTGTTCTCATAGCAACGTGGGTGCCGGGCTGGCTACAATGGTTGCAACCTGACACCAGCAGTACTTTGTGCAACTACTCATAAAGCAAGCGCAGGCGCAGCGCCGAAAGGGCAGGAAGTGAGGACAGTGTGCGATAGAACCAATTACCCGCCCACGATATCGGAAACCTGTAATTAGTGAAAAATATCCGAGAACGGAAACGGCTTGCCGTGCTACGATCTACGCAATAAGTTCATGTAAAGAACTGTGGCTTAACTAAATAATATGTTTGAATTCAGAAGTAATTTAAATTGTTAAAACATAATTTTAACCCTTATTGTTGTCATGTCGCACACAGCACTACTAAATTACTCACAATGTAGGTACTTATGTTTACTCTTTTGTAAGCACATGTTTTTGGTCACACTTTCAAATTATTTAGTAAAATATCTACGAAAATAGTAATACTAAGCAATTTAATATAATTAATAATACAATTACATAATAAGGTACTTACCTTATAAAAATACCTTAACAAACTGATTCAAATACTTAACTACTTACCTATCTATTTTCATAGCAATAATGCAAACGTTCCAAATTTCATTCGCAATAAAAAAATGTCGGCGAGCGTGTATCATCACATGTTATCGTGTCGCAAAATGATTGAAGAGCCTAGAGAAGTCGGCAGTTTTTGAGCGCGCACAAAAACGCAGTAGCCCGGAGATTTATGGCGTGAGGATAGCGATCATAGCGCATTAGTACTTGGCATTGTCCACTCCATGGGGCCTTTATGGCACGGACTGGCTAGCCCAGTAGCAGCTCAAACAATGTGCTTTCCCAGTGCCCGTGGTTTGTTCTATGAGTGTCGTAAACATGTCGACAGGTTTAACCTATTGTGGAACTCCGTAGGTCTGCAATTTACAAAAATAACAGTAGCTACTTCCTGGAATGTTCGATCAGAAAATGCTTTCATTACATTTATGTTGCGTTGTAGTTTTTAAGAAACAAACAAATGCATTTTTCTTACTTTGAGCAAATTGATCGGAATTCAACAATGTTATCTATGTAATTTGATAAATGCCTTTTATCAGAAAACTCAACGTATTTTACTGCATCGCAGACTATTTTACAAAATAAGATTTTGATATATATATTTTTTTTGCATCAAGATTAAGCAGAACTGGGCAGAGAATTTTATTTTATTTTTTAACAAAGCTTAACAAGTCCGACGTGGGCTGTTCGAGAAATTAGATAAATAAAAAATATATTAAAGATGAGCGTCGGAAGAAAAGGAAATGTAGCGGTGTAGAGAGCGCGGTGTTTAGTAAAACAAAAGCACGGCGAACGATTTAACAAACTGCCATATTTTAACAACGTGTAATTAAAGGTTTGGCTCTGCTCGAATATGCATAAATCATGCGCCTGCCGCGAACCAGAGACCGAAATAGAGAAAAAATTAAAAACATTAAGCGCTGCGAGTTCGGAACGGAAAAATAAAATGCCTAATAGGTGCGTAGGTAGATTTCTATCTGTACTGGCTTGACCAGTTTCAAAATAAATGTAAAATGCACAAATTTAAATATTTAGTTACTATATATGCACTTTGAATTTAGCGAATATTTTGCGTAGCGAAAAATGTTTGATAAGGTAGAGCACAAGTAACTTTAAAAAGTATTTAGTTACTTTATTTGCACACCAACTGTTCCTACTATGGGGTGATTATTATAATGAGATTTTAACATTCGAAACAATTCATATTTATATATACATAACTCATATTTCCTACATTAATCTACATACCTAGAAATATGCTTGAAGAGCTGTTATTGGTCTTTAATTCTATATAATTTAATATTCATCGTAGGTACTGGTGGGTTATACCATTTTAATTTTAACAAATAAGTGTTTAGATTGTAGTATTATCGGTGTACACACTAATTATCTACGTGGTCACTATGTCTAGATATTCATAAATGAATTAAAGTACGTCATACGTATGTTTAAATCAGAACTGGGCCGCCCTTTAATCTAAAGGCGGGCAAAGTAAACATAACCTTTGTTCTGAGCTGTCGGTGCTCTCTTTCGCTCGAGCTTCACACGAGAGTAGAGCTGGTAAGCTCATAACTCACGACCAGGGGTGGGGTGTGGAGGCTGCGCTAGAGAGATGCGGGCTGCGGGCAGAGCGCGGGGTGCGCGCGCGCAACTCTCGGGCACCCCCGAGGCGGAGAGGGGCCGGGGCGAGGTGACAACCGCTCGTTACCTCTATCCCAAGCCAGTTATTAAAAACGTCTCGGCGAGAGCGGTGCGCCGCCCTGTAATTATCTAGTTGAAGGTTTCGTTGCGCTACGTTGTCACCAACGTCACCGGAAATGCAGTACGTGGATCCGCCCGCTCAACAGGTTCGTCCGCCCGCCCACGCCCTTTCCCTATTACTCTGATGATTTGATACGACAGTGTTTATGAAAATAGTAATTTTATCACTTGTTATTTTGATGATTTTTTATGTTATTTAAATTCAATGGAATCATTCCGTTGAATTTTAATAACATTTTCATTTTCATTTTTGATTGATCTGTATTAAATTCTAACTCAAATTACTTTTATCATACGTTTATAATTAAACAGAAAAAAATAATTGGAGCTATTATATATTTGACTATAACAATTATGGTAATTTAAAACTAACGATTGATTATTCAAACGATTATATCAAAGTCCTTTTTATTTGCAGATGATGAGCATGATGACAAGCTATGGATACGGTCGCGGTGACGCGATTTCTCCAGCTTCCGACCTTTCATCGTGCAGCAGCGCGTCATCGGGCGCGTGGTGCGGTGCTCCGACGGCAACGGCGGCTTGGCGTGACTTACCGACGTACCCACCGCAATACCCTGCTTATTGGCCGCCGGCCACGACAGAGGAGACTCGCGAGTTGCAACGCCGTTGTGCTAAGTGTCGCTGCCCAAACTGTCTCACGGAAGCGGCAGGTTTCGGACCGAACTACGGCAAGGATGGAGCCAAGCGTGAACATGTGTGCCACGTTCCCGGTTGTGGCAAAGTCTATGGCAAAACATCTCATTTGAAAGCCCATCTCCGCTGGCACACCGGTGAACGGCCCTTTGTTTGCAACTGGTTATTCTGTGGTAAGCGATTTACACGATCTGATGAACTGCAACGACATCTGCGGACGCATACCGGGGAAAAGAGATTTTCGTGCCAACTATGCGCGAAGCGCTTCATGCGATCTGATCATCTCGCGAAACATGTGAAGACTCATGCTAATGTATCAAGGAAGACAAAGAAAGCTAAAGAAGATGACAAAACTGAATTACTGAAAGCTGCTAGTGTTAAACCCGACCAACAGCCAGCTGAAACCGTAGCTTCGCCAGTCGGTAGTTCAAATTTCGGCACGGTGCCCGTCGCAAGCGTGCCGAAGCAGATGTTAAATTACGGAGCAGTGGCACCTAAGGTTGTAACAAGTGTGCCAAGTGGATTTACCGGTGGTCCAATATATGGTGGTGCTCCAGTGATGAGCGCGCCTAGCTGGTGTCCAGAAGTTCGGCAGGATATGCTGTACTCGCGAACGCCTGTGCGAGACCATAGAGTTTACCAGCAGTACCATACACCGTTGACCCCGTATCAATGTGCAACGAAAGAAAACTACGCCGTATTCCAAGGGCATTACAGTTTTCAGTCACCGGTCGCATTGGGTCAGTAAGTGCTTGAAGTGAAATATGTGCGGACTGAATACGCTTTTGTAAATAGTTAATTGTTGCTAATAATTATTTTATGCGTTTAAGTTACCACGAACTCATGTGATTTTTTTAAATTTACAAGTCGGTACGTGCCTTTCAAGTTGATACTATGTTGACGTGTTGCTAAAGTAATTAAAATAAAATAATTTTAATGTCTCATTTGTATTCTCTATTTTTGCTAAACATCCCTAATTGTTTCAATGAATTGCCATATAACACGATGGTATCCTATGTAGGTACATTGATACAGAACAAAAATAAAAATATTTTCCAACAAAAAAAAACACAGAGAAGATTATTTGATAATTATTATAATTTTACAATTATTTAATTCACACACACACACACACACACACACATACTCATACACATATACAGATATATATCTATAAACCCGTCCCAGACAAAAACCAATACTTACTTCAGTTCAATAGTATTGTGGAATATTTACAATAATATAATATATACCAGCAACTGAGGGAATCGGTTTGTTGAATCCTATAAGGCACAGTTTCTCCGAAGCGGAGGTTTTAACTTTACAATTTCATTACAGATTCCTCTGCCAGAGATAAATCATTAATTCTGTGTCGTATCAACCGTGGGTCACCGGACGCTTCAGTAAAATATTTTAATATTTTTTCTGTTAGCTTTATTGAAGCCTCCGGTGACATAAAGCTAGCAGTCATTTCCTCTAAAGGATAAGTTAGGCAATTTCCGATACTCACGATGCATTCTTCTACCTTCAACCTATTTATCTTTCTCATATTTATAAGCATGTTTAGTTTATTCTTTAGTAAATGTTATGTCTAGGGCGATGGTGTTAGGAAAGTTTTTGGCAGACCTTTCCGCATAAAGAAGCATTTGCCATAATAATCACGCTACGAAAATAGACAGTCCATCGCAGTAAAACTCCAAGCTCATTTAAGAATTATATAAATTATTTTGAGTCTTGACGAATACAGTTTTAGATAAAGTCAGGATGATATTATAAAACAAATCCCCATGATGAAAAGGTTGTATTGATTTTATTTGTAACAGGACTCGCGAGTTTTAACACTCAATTGTTTCTAAATAGTTGCAACATTGAATAGGGTGTAAATTAAATGCTATGTCATCCGTGTCTGTTGTTCAGTTTTGTAATGAGCAAGTCACGAAATGAAAGTTCAACCAACACATTTGTTGTTGTCGCAGTTTATACTTGGCTAATGTTATAGATGTTTCTCTTGCGTTTTGAGTGGAATAAACTCATGGAATATTAAAGAATTTGCCCTGCATTTATTATTACATCAATTAATATTTAGTAAACTCACTGCGGTTCTACTAAAGCTTAAATAAGTAATAAAGTATACAAGTATGGCAAAGTTCGCAGTTGCATCAATGTTGTGTCTATAGTAGTTGCAGCATAATGTTATAGGTTGATATTTGTTGTAGTAATAAATAATTGTTCTTATGCTAATTTTATGACATTTGAAGATAAATGAGTATGAAGTAAAAATAAACTAAACTAATATATATTTACAAAAATTATCTAGCATAGAATTTCAACGTTAATGCTTAGTTGTTTTAGTTTCGACGTTGTTGTACGAAATGCTACGATTGCTACGGTTGCGTAGCACTTTTTTTTATATGACTGTTTTGTAGATTAGTAAAAATAAAAATGTGTAGGTTGATTATATCATTAGACAATCTCATTATGAATGTATAGAGTTTTTATATTCATTGTATTAGTAATTGTAATAACTTTTTCTGGGTATATAAACAAACAAACAAATATATGTATAATATGTATATGGGTATTGTATTTGTCAATAGGGATAATTGAAAGAAAGAAAGCGAAAGTTAGATGAGTTTTATGTTGCTTCGAAATAGTGTAGGCCTGAAAATAGGTTTTCGATTTTAAGGTTCCTTTGAATACCGCTCCTCGTCGCTAGATGGCGTAACTGGTAGCATTTGAGAATGGAGTTGAGGTCGGTGGCGCGGCAGCGGTGGCGCGGCGACGGTGGCTCGGTCGCCGGTCGCGAGTGCGGCCGCGGCGGCGTAATTGCACGCGGCTATTATCTGGGCGGCGCTCGCCGCGCATGGCGGCCGGTGCGAGCGGGATGCACTCGATAATACGTAAAACAAAACGAGGGAGTAATAATGGTAAAAAACGAGCAGCACGCAAATTATAGTGAGAAATGAGGCAGCCGGTAGCGGTGGGGGCCGCGTCGTGCGGTGGGGGCTGGCGCGCGGCAGTCGGCGTCGCTCGGCGCACGCAGACCGCCCGCGCCGCCTGCGCCGCCCGCGCACCGTCGCGAGTGTAGTGAGTGAGTGACATGCGCCACCACCGCCGCGGCTGCCTCGCCTCGCACCACCATGAGCGGCAAGGGCTCCTCCTCGCCAGACCTGCTCATGAATGTGAGTCTCAGTCCTAACGCTGCGACAACTATCCCGACACAATCTACTCTACGCTTATTAACAATTTAAGACAAACCATTGAAGAACACTGTCACTGATATACTTCGTGTCTTAGTTGTAAACTCTTTCACATGACTTTACGATGGAGATTATTAGAAACATCCAATTCTAATCCTCTAATCTAATCATCCAAACTATAATATAAATATTTATTTTAAATAATTCTTATAAGTATTTGGATTGGTACATATTTTTATAAAAAAAGGCCTTATGGCGTTTTGCTTCATTTGTTACCTTTGATAATGTTAATAGACCACCATAGTCTATATGTGTCTAGGTGCAGGTTTATATAGTACCAACAAAACTCTAATAGGAAAGAGAAAACAAATGGTTTGTTAACTTTGTCTATGTGGAGTCATTAATAGAGCGATTACAAGTTTGAAAAGGTTGTTCACGGTATATGAGCTTAAAATTTAGAACAAATGCACGCCGAATAGGTTGATAAAACGGTTTGTTAGTCATAGAACCCTTGGGTCCCGATTTAGCACGCACCATAAGCGGCGCGTTATGGCCGATGAGACGGCATCCCTTGGGTCCAAGGATCATGGACGAAAGAAACTCTCTGGGAACTTAGGTTATATTTAATAACAAGAATAATTGAAAATATTTGAAAAACCATTTGGTACTACTGAAGCACAATTTAATAAATATTTATAATCATTTATTTATGATTTTACTAGTTATTTGTTAGTTTTGCTACAGATTCTTTTCTGTGCGAAAAAACTAAAGCAAATTACCTACATTATAAAATACATATGTAAGTAGAAACTTTTTAAAGGACTAGTCAAATGATTCCTGAAACCGGGGCAATGAAACAAGAGGGGAGAAGTCTTTTCCCAGCAATGGGATAAAACAGGTACATAATAAGTAGAAGTATTTAATTCATTGAAAATAAGACGTATATATAATTATATTTTAAAAGTTGTTGTATTATAAAAGAAATACTACAGTCAAACTAAAGGTTTCTCTCAAATGTAGAGCATTAGATCTATTTCTAGCCTCGATTACTATTCATGGCGTCCGCCCTCAGATTCGAGTCACTGCGAGTGGACCCGAGAAAGTACCCACCATACGAAAAAACATTATGTGTAAATTCTCTCAATATACTCCCCCCTCAACTGCCTCCATTGAATAGTAATTTAGGAAAGTTGCTCGACGCCTCAACGACTCTGAATAATAGATCGCCCAATGGAAATGATTTACTATTAAATAATGTAGTAGATAATGACGACAAATAGCTCTAATAGTAACTTCAGCCGAACCTCTATGATTTAGCCAAAGGAAGGATTGATAACAATAAGCATTTATCGTGTAGTTGAATAGATTAGTTTGTCAATAATTTATAAAAAGGTCTTTAAAATACCTTTAACCGTAACTTACAGTGAAAACTAACTAATATTACCCATACTTCCAATAGGACCTTAAAGAGGCACAGCAGGCAGCAGGTATAATTTTATTTATGAAGCAATAACCGTCACATAAATGTTATTGTTATTATCTAAAAATTGCCCATTATAGTTCGTTTCGAACGTTACTAACAGTTCATAAAAACTACCGAAATGCTAATTCAATTAAGTAAAGTTCAAATAAAATAAAGGTCGTGTCGGCGCTTTCGAGGAGCGTAACAAATCCTTAATGACACATAGAGCCTTCGTCCATTTTCTACCCAATTTCCTTTTCCTATTAGTTTAATCTAGAGGCAGGACTACTGGCGCCAAAAATTATGCCGCGACGGCCGTGTCGGGGGCGGCTAATCTGTTTAGCGTTATATCGTGGGGCACGGCTCCTTTGTGCGGCGAAAAAGGAAGAAATTTATGCGTTTCGGCGTCGTGTGTGAGTTTTTGTGGGAATGTAATTAATAATTCGGCGGCAAAACTAACAGTGTTTTCGTTGCACGTCGGCCGGTGATTGATGCCCGCGCCCGCCGCCGCCGGGACAACTTCAATTAGCTCTCTCTTTGTTCCCACTCTATGTGCTCTATATTTCGTTTCACATTACACAAAGGTTATTTAGATATAGCATTCTAATTTCTATGCATAGTCGATTATAGTTAGGTCCTAATTACGTGGACAATTTCATAATAATAAGATATTAATGTTGAATTATACTGTTATATAATACAGGAATAATTCACAATAGCAATACCAACACGGCACGAGTGAAAAGCTGATACAATTCATATACCCTTTGAAAGTGTTCAAAACGTGTTTCACCGGAACAACAGCGAGCGATCTCGGGTGCGTGGGCGCAGGCCGCAAGTTACAAGTCATGCTGCCTCCGGCCCCGTGCCCACGGCTCAGGTGTAATGGACCGAGAGTATTTGTTTTAATGGCTGCTACTAGGATGACTCGCCTCCAGACAATAGACAGGTAAATGAGTAAAGATCGTTGCTAGAAGTTTGTAGATAGAATTAAAGCTTTTTCTATAGACGTAAATATAATACAACTGCCTCTGTGGTCGACCGATTACCATGCCGGACTGCCACGCAGAGATCCCAAATTCGATTCTCCGGTCGAGAGAAATATTTGTATGGCCTAAATTTATTTCTCTCATGAATTTGGGTGTAATTCGTGGTTGTCTATGTATGTGTCCACGGCACCCACGATACAGGGTTTCTCTAGTACGGAGCGATGTTGAGTGTGCGCGTTAAAAAAAAATTATA